TCATTCATTAATTTATTACCAGGTACCTGCCTTTTATAAAAATATTTTCCTTTGTGAGTTAAACTTAGCATTCACCTGCTTATATTGAACAGATTTTGAAAAGGTTATTCATTTAAAGATATTTGGATGTTTTTAATTTTATTGCCAGTTTCTGAGTAAGTAACGCAACTGGAAAAGAAATTCAGAAATTCTTTCAGTCTTTTTTTATTTTTTCCCCTTTTTCTCTTCCCCCCCCCCGACCTTGCGAGCTTTCTTAATCGTAAATCCAGAAAGGATGAGTATTTGATCATTTAACATTGTTTCTAACCCTACATAAACATCTTCAGTGCCATATGGAGGGGCAATAAGGAAATCCATATTTGTAGAATGTGGAACTTGTCCTAAATCAGGATTATTGCATTGGAATGCGGGATTGTCCGCCACAATGCAGGGTCATTATTATATATATGGGTTCAAATACTTCACTAAGTACAAGGGGGGATGAGACCCGCATGCCTTTCGTGACCTTGAAACAAAACGGTCGGTCTGTCAGCTCTATCTGCACCCTGTCTGAACTCCAGATGCCAAAAGACACAGGGCGAACAGCTGTGTATGCAACAGTGCATTTATTTGGAGAAAGGATGCAGACGAAAAAAACTTTTTAATATAATTAAGAAGGTATGATGCAAAGCAGTCCCTAGGGACTATACTAGTGCTTCAAAAAGCTCGTTGGATGTTTAAAAATATTTAATAATAATAATAGACGCCATTTTTCTTTCCTGTATGTGTCACGAAAAACAGGAATTAGCTCGATTTTTCTAAATTACTAGTTATAACAACAGATGATGTTATAAAATTTGAGAATACAGTGTACTCTATTATTCGGGCTAATGCCGGGAAAGCAGGTCACGGATAACTGAAAAACACGTATAATCCAAGTTGTCCAAAAAAAAAAAAAGGGGGGGGGGTGTCGTTAATTACTTTGTTTTTGAGAACTTTTAAAATATCTGTTGGATTTTACTGCGTATTGTTCTATAAATACTCTTATTTTAATAAAACACCCCTTTCGTCGGACGAAGTCCTATAGTGTTTTAACAGAAGTCATTGCAGTCTCGGAATTGATGTAATGAATTGTCAGGATCTTTTTCGTTTGTATTTTCAGTATCTCTGACTTTTCTGTTCTTGTGGCATTTAAAAATGTATCCGCATCACTCAGGAACTGAAAAGTCCGGCTCAGTCGAGCAGCTTTCCTATCATTCCTCGATTTTTCGCGATTGACATTTTCAAAGAATTTTACATTTAAGATATTTTGGCGTACAAATGCAGCTTCATTTATATAAGTTGTATGAAAAATTCTTTAAAAAAAATAAAAAAATATGTTATAGTAATAGCTTCACTAATAATTTGAGTTGTTACCTCAGCTTCTTCACAATTACATAAATTTCCGATTTCTACATTAAGAAAAATTCTCAAATTTGTGCATATGTATTTTTACACAAACTCGCACATAGCGTTGAGTGTGTGCGCGTGGCCACCGTCACATACGGAGATCCTCACCCAGATAATTAAGCGTTCACTGTAGTTTTTATTGGCAATTGTTCATAATTCAGAATATCTAAATACGGTGGAACCTCGAGATACGAGCACCTCTATAAACGAGAAATTCGAGATACGAGGAAAGTATGAGCGAAATATTCGTCTCTAAATACGAGCATTGACTCGAGTGAAGAGCAAGGAGCCAGGCTCATTTCCCGATCCGGCTCTACTCGAGGAATCTCCTCGTCGGATCACTCAGTGTTCTTTGATCATGTGAGTTAATTGTTTTTTACATTTAAATGTGAAAATAATTATTTTACAATGCCTCCCAAGAAGCTTGTTGCCTCGAATAGTGCTGCAAAGAAAAAGAAGGAAGTTATGGCCGTTGGAATTAGAAATCGTAGATAAACATAAGCGTGGTGTAAGAGTGACGGAAGCGGCCGTTCGACATCGACGATCTGCACTAGTCTGAAGAAGAAGAAATTAAAAAACTTGTTGTGGCCAAAGGAGTTACCGTTATTGCCAAGCACCGCCTAAAACTCTTAGATGTTGAGAAGTTGTTGTTGGTGTGAATTAACGAGAAGCAGTTAAAAGGCGATTCAGTGTCGGAAGCTGTGGTAAAGGTAAACTACGGTAATATTATTTACCAGTGTTATTTATTAGAAAATTGATTATGTTGATATTTTTGGGGCTGCAGAACGGATTAACTGGATTTCCATTATTTTCAATGGGGAAGTTTGTTTCTAGATATAAGAAATTCGCTATACGAAATCAATGCTGGAGCGAATTAAACTCGCAACTCGACGTTTCACAGTATTGTTAAATCATTCTTTAAAAAGAAATACTGTTAAATCATTTGTTAAAGGACGATAGTAAAAATAAATTACCTGTACAATACCTTAAATTGACAATTTCTTGTTAAATCCTTCTTAATTACTTGGAAGTGTGATAGTCTCGTAAGTTACGAGATAAGATCATTGGCCATTCTTTTTAATTATTAGCCCCAGTTAGCTTTGTATTTTAACATAGTTTTTCATTAGAAACTGTTATAGGCTTCATATAAAATATCATCCAATTTTATCCAAAATCTAACCAACCCTTTATATGAATGTAGAAAGTTTAAATATGGAAAACAGACTTTTTTTTTTTTTTTTTTGGTTAAGATTTATATAAGAGTTATCATGAACAAAAATTATTAAACTAACCAAATATCATTTCAAAAATAGTAAAAACATGTTTTGTGGACCCTAATTCGTGCTTATTCACTAAAAACTCACTATTCAAATTTTTGGACCGAAAGCATTACATCGAGAGGTAAAAAATATGTAATAATTTTAGTGATTCCAGTTAATGTAATTTTACGGGTCCAGCTAGTAATTAATAATACTTGAAACGAATCTACGTTTATGGTTCTTAAATCGCTTAGTTTATTTATTAATAACGTAATGAATTTGAAAAACCTTACTTTTTATGGTGAAACTAGCAATGGGGAAATTTTTTGGTGCCCTCTTTCCTTGAGTACGTAAGCAGCTTTTCGTGGTGCACACTTTCCTTAATTAACGCATCCTTATTTTGTTTATTTAACACTTTCATTTCTTAAACAGATAGATACATAAAGTAATTAATAGGTTAAGTAACTAAATTAAAATTAAAATTTAATAAATTATCAAACTGAAGGTTATATAATGTTAAATAATAAAATACTGGATCTTGTGTTATTTGCGGCCGTGGCTGGAATTACCGTTTCGTTCAAAAACTTAGAAATCCCTCAACTGTCCTCCAGCTGAATTTAAGCCCTGAAAACATGCGGTGTAACGTACTACGTATTTCAAGGGATAAGATTTAAAAAAAAAAAAAAAAAAAAAAAAAAAAACTTTTTCCAGCACGTTAATGGTAAAAGGATTAAAGTGTCTCTAATAGGAATAGATAGAGAGTGCTAGAAACAATATGAGAGTATGGAAAAAAATTTTAACAAAGAAGTGTAGCTTCGAAAACAAAGAAGAGTCCCAACGCGTTCTAACCGTTATGCGCTGATGATATAATTTTATCTGTAAAGAAAATTTTTCCTCGAATTTTATCCGATAACAACATGAAAACAAACATAAGGTCTGCAAGTGATAGTTTTCTTTCGCTGTACTTGGTTACACAGTTCCAAAGTCTGCAGTGGGAACGTCACTCGTGCACGGCCAAGACAATCACTTTTCGTACATTTGGGGACAAGAATTTTACCTGCTCTCTTAAATTCATTACACTACCTGGAGAATAAGCCTTTGACATGTAAGTGGGGGCTTTTCTTTCCTGAAAAGTCGCAACTTCCATCAGAGTGGTATTTCCCCAGAGGAAAGCCAGGCATGTATTCAGAAATTATAATCGATTTTTAAGGCATATTTATTATAAAATAAAACTTGTTTGTTGAAACTGTGTATCACTTAAACGGTATGCCTGGAGCCGTTTTAAGGCTGTGGTGAACTTTTCTAAAACGGAGAAGTTGTGTAGTCAGGCTCCATAGAACTTTATGTGTTCAGATTTTAGAAAGGAATATTTTTTTAGCAGTACATTCATTTAATAAGGATTTAACTTAAAAGTATATTACATTCAATATATTGCTGTGGCTTGATTGTAGCTTGATAAAACACCTTTTCAAAGAATTTTCCACGAAAAGAAATGAACCAAATAATGTAGGATTTCAGACTACCGTAATATTAGTAAAAATATACAAAATTTAAACTTTTGTACGAGTCTTGAAGGGCTCACTATTATGCTGTCATAATTACATGAGATTTTACTTAAAAACTTGAGTGGGTAATAAAGGACTACATGCAAATAGTGCCCAAGACAATTTCACAAATAACATGACTATGAAAATAATCAATGAAACGAAAATATCACCAGTGACATGTAAAGATGTGACTAATCGTACAGCGCTATCTATCGAGAAAAACTTGAACAAAAAATATAACTTTTGCCAGAAATAGCCTTTTCTACTTATAATTGCAAATCACTGTACATTCATACATTTTTTAAAATGTGTAAATTTATGCCGTACCCTGTACTTTTAACAGAAGGGAAATAACTACATTTATGAAATAAATTTAATATTGGAACACTAAGAAATATTTAGTTTAAAAATCTTTTGGCCCTCAAGCGGCCCAGTAGTAAAGTCACTAACAATGGTAGTACGGTCTGGGGTTCGAATCTCGGTGAACAGGCTCGTTTCATGGGCGTATTTATAGTTTCTCCTGCATGTGAAATGTATACAAGCCAGTTTTACTTAGGAAGTCTTTTGCGAAGGCATCTTTTCCACTCATGCAATAGTCTTTGAATGCTTTGTTGTAATTAAATAAACCAAACCAATTCAAAATCTTTTTGGAAAATCCTGTATTAGTGTTTAATATTAAACTGAATAGATTATTTTGCATAAATACGTTTTTACTCTTGGTTATTTATAATAATAATAATATAAACATAATTTTTTTTCTTCCTAGCTGTTCGAGGCACAATAAGTTCCTTATATGAAAATGAAATCACGCAAAGGACAGAACTGGTGGTTAAAGCACGTCAAATTCTCAGAGATTCTGAACAAAAAGTATTTCAGACTCTATCAAAATCGGGTAAAAATCTAACAACCTACAGTGGTGTTTTGTATAGGCCACTGCAGTGCGGTACACGAGCTGGAACGGGAGAATTCCTATTCCTGGGAAGGCGAAAACTTGGTGATCCAATTCTTACATGTGCACCACGCTGGACTGAATGGAAAAAAATAAGACAGAAGGCCTTCTCATCTGGCAACTTGGACTGTATGCTTGATTGAAAAGTGCTAATAAGTGCAGATAAAGTGCAGATAAAAGAATAGCTAAGAATAGCAGATAAAGAATTAGCTAAACAGTGAAGAATACCAAAGATTCTGTACGATATTCTTTCAAATTGTTTAAACAAGAACTACAGTAGCGTATTTTTTGCATGTGCCAAATAAGAATTTTACTGATACATTATTTGTTAATGGAGATAAAAATATTAATATATGTATTTAATAGGATTAGCATAGAGATGCAAAGCAAATAGGAATTTTACATTTTTCAGCTATAATAACCAGGTCTCCAGAGTACAAATATACGCACAATTTCTATATAGATCTTATATTGTATATAGTGACTTTGTATTATTATATAAAACTAGAAATTAAAAACTTTTTTTTTCATGAAATTTGTCTTATTTGAATTTAAACGCCTCTTCTTCAGGTTAGATTGCTCATTGTAGTGCTTAACTGTTGTAAGGTTTATCTTAAGTTCTTAACAGTTATCTTTAGTTAAAGCTATTTTCCTATTCCTCCTAATTTGAGCTTACCATTTCCTGCCAGAGTGTGTTCTTAGAATCGCGGTTAATGCAAATGAAGGAAGAGCAGTACTTAAAATTGAACTTCCACTGACTTCGTTTATTAGAGAGCCAGAGATTCTGACTAGCGCGCGTTTGCCTTTTGGCTACGGCTTTCTTTAAGCTATTACTACGCTCGGTCGTATTTCAGGCCAATGATAGCTTCCCCGTTTATTTAACATTTAGGTGCCAACTCCTTTAGAATTTTGATAGCTTCGGTTATATCTTTTTAGTTAAGTTTGTTTTCTTAGTACGCTTGAGTTCAAGCCCAAGTGGATGCTCTTCTGTGAGCTCTAAGACGGGAGCCGTCTATAAATTCTTATTTTGAGAAACAAAGGATAATTAACCCTTTTTGAGTTTACGTTTCTGTTTGAACTAAAGCGCTTGCCAGAACTAAAATTCGCTTGCCAGTTCTCGAGGTTCCACACACATAGCTATAGGAGAGGAGATTGGAACCTGTTACTAAATGTATTAAACTATTGCTATGATTTATGTTTCATAAATATTGAATATCAATCCAGTTGAAAAGAACTTTCATTTCAGTGAAATTATATGAGATATCAGCTAAAACTAGCTGAGAGAAAAACAAGAGATCATGCTGTAAATTCTCCCTAACATCGGTATATAAATTAAACCCAGGTGTTGATTTTTCCGATAATAATCCTATGTGCTGTATCTGACTTCGAATCTAAAATTTTCTGAAGAACACCAAAAACCTTGTCTAAAACTTAAAGGTTTATTTAACTGGAACTTCAACACTGATGAAAACTTAACATCACAAACAAAAACTTAACATCTTGGGTAGAAAACTTCAAAGTGCTTTAAAGTAACAGCTATGCCGGCACGGTGAAGAACACTTTCCTTTAAAAGACAGAATCCATCTAGCCTTTTCGGCTTATATCTCCATTTCGCTGAATTCAGACATCCGCTCCTACGTGTTTTGGACTTAAACGGCCAGGCTGGAACTGGAATAGGACTGGATCAGGACCGGAACTGACTGGAACAAGACGGGAACCGGAACAGGACTGGATCCGCAACAAGACGGGAACCGGAACAGGACGGGAACCGGAATCTCTCATCCCCTGGCTTCTCCCCGGGCAGGTCTATTCTGGCTCAAACTAAAAGGAACTGCGGTGCCACTAAGGAAAGCACCTCCTTTTATTGCCGGCGGTTGCCGTTACTACAGGCGACTATGCAAATATTTAACACCAGGCCTTTAAAAAGTGTTTTGTTTAAGTAAATAAACACTCTCTGATCTTGATTGACGCATGAAGGTTAAAAAAAAACTTCAATCAATTCTTTGTACGGTTACAATTAAACTTCGAAGATCTTTATTTGATGAAAATCCCTCATCAATAAAGATTATAGAAAATTGTTAAGATATTTACCATACCTGGATATAAAACACCATTACAAAACTAAAACAATCAATTATATACATTTAATTAAGAATAAGATTTTTTTAGTGTCATGAATTTTCATGTTGCAAAATAGCAATGGTGAAAGTTTGCTGATAGGACGTTAAAGTACACCATTCATCGTTTTTATGTCTACAACTCGCACTTTTCCATCAGCGCCTGATAGAGTTTAATTACTCTACATAAGCGCCACTCTAAAGGTGGTAAATCATCTTTCACGAGTACCAAGTTATTGATGTTTAAGTTTGATTTGTCTTTTTGCCATTTTGCACGTCCTTGCAATTGAGAAAGATTGTTTGGCAATCAGCGTTTCCAAACGTGCTGAAAACATTGTTGAATCAGTTTCCAACGTTCAACTGGCGTTATCTTATTATCTATCACATTGGTTCAGGAATGGTTGTCAGTGCAGTCCCAATAAGGAAATGACCAGGCATCAACGGATTTAAGTCATTGGAGATTGTCACTATAAGTCTGGAATTGAAGGAAACTTCAACTTGAGTAATCAAGGTGAGAAATTCTTCAGACGTAAGCAGTTGGGCACCTACTATACGTTTTAAGCGGTTTTTCATTTGCTTAATACCATTCTCTCAAAGACTATCAATGCTTTCTTGCGTCAACTGATTTTGGGATTTTTTAGATGATAAAACTGATGGCATAAACCGTTTTAATTCACGATCTTGCAACAACTTGTCCCTTGATACGAAAACATCTCCTGTGGTTTAGTTTGTCCTTTGATACGAAAACATCTCCTGTGGTTTAGTTTGTCCCTTGATACGAAAACATCTCCTGTGGTTTAGTTTGTCCCTTATAAGAAAATATCTCCTGCGGTTTGCCCGACGGGCCACAATCTTAATGATGCTAAAAAGGCTTCTGAGGAGAAATCACTTCCAACCTCCAAGTAGTATATTGCTTTAGTGGCGAAACATATGAACAGGCATAAATACCACTTGATTGGCCTCACTCTTCTCTCCTTGCGCAGTTTCACAAGGAATGGCCCTGCGTAATCAAGGCCTACTTCGGGGGGGGGGACTGCTTGGCACAACTTGAGATGCCGGAAAATCAGCCATTATTTGCGATGCAGTATTTGTACTATTTTTGAAACATTTAATACAGTTTCTAATAATTTTGCGTTTGCATCTCTACAGTTAAATGTCCAATATGTGTGTCGAATAGCCGAAAAAAGTGTTCTTCCACCATGCAGATGAGCTTCATGAAAACACTTAACTGTTAATTCAGTTACATGACGTTTCTTACTCTTAGGAAGAATTACCTGATGCTTTTAATTTTCAGGTATGTTTGCGTTCCCTAGCTACCTCCAAAACGAAGAATATTTTCGTTATCTAAGAAAGGATTCAAGGACATAAATCTGCTGTTAGAGCTGATATTTTCCCCTATTCTTAATGTCGAGATTTCGATTGAAACTCACTTCTCTTGACTAAGAGCACAACAGTGTTGAAGAATTGGTATTTTTCACAAATTTTAGACACCATGCCACTACACGTTTGAATTTATTCCAGGATGAAATTTAATAAGAAGGTTAAATTAATTTTGATTATTGGATTCTATGCACACCACAGTTTTTTGCTGCTATTCAAGAGAAAGTTCCTTGCAATCGGGGTCTAAAATAGGCTCAATCCTTTGATTACTGAAGTTACCCTACCTTAGCCAAGATAGACCAAGAAATCAAAATTCATTGTCTACATCTACGAAATACAACGTATTGTCTGCGTAAAACAACATCTGCAGGATTTTCAGTTCCTTTGCAAATATGACACTGTGAAGGAATGATTAAATTCTGTATCTCTGTAACAAGATTTGCTACGAAAGGCTTCCAATTATTGACAGAGCCCTTTATTCAATGAAGCACTGTTTGAAAGTCACTAAAGCAATAAATATTGCATTCCTTGATATCAAAGAATGCTTTCAGAGTACTATTTCTTGCAGCAATAGTAGCTGCAAGCAATTCCAAGCGAGGAAGCGTAAGCTTCTTTAAAGGAGCTACTCTGCTTTTAGATAGTGCAAAGGATACCTCCAAAGTAAGTGGGATTTTGAAGGTACGCTGTGCTACCATATCCCTTTGATACTGGCATCGGCGAAAACAATTAAGATAATATTTTCTGCATTAATTGCTGAACCACATAAGAAATATCTTCTAGAAATATTAATGTTAATAAATTCCTCGATTTCAGAATACCAATACCATGCCAAGAATTTCCTTTTTAATTCATCAGATACCTCGAAGTCCCAATTACAACCAGATTCCCATAATTCTTGAATCATAAACTTAGCTAATTATATATGCAAAAACCAATCACATTGGAACATAAATTTTGGCTACAGTTTGCAAAATGAGTCTCTTTGTTATTTTCTGTTATTAAGTGATTCCATGAATTGTGTTACATCTAAATTTAAATTGTCTTGATTTGCAGCCCACTTCAAGCCTAGAATTTTTTACGAATTTTTGTTTATTTTCCTCAATATCTATTCCGTTTTTGATCCATAGTTCTCACAAAACTCCAGAATTGCTTTCTATTTTACGAAGATGCATATTTGCCAATTTCAGAATACCCACCGCAATAGTCAACATATAAAAGGCATTATCATCACTTTTTGGCCAAAATATATGCAAAAGATCATCTACATACATTAATTCAACTAACATTTCTAAATCACTAAGTTCCTTTTTATATGATATTTAATAATCGCCGAAAGCGTGAAGGGTGATTAACAAGTTCCAAAAGGCAATCGTGACACTTTGTATATTTGAAATGACGGATTTTCATCATTACCGAACCAAATAAATACAAAAAACTGAAAGCTTTCAGATTTTATATTACGCCCAAAAAAGCATTTTTATAACGTTTTGTGTGTTACCTTTATTTATTAAATATCATGATCACTTAAATCACATAAAACTGAATTCAACAGCAATATCACAAAATATTTAAAAACAGTAGAATTTCCGATTCAGTCTCGCTCGCTGGAGATAAAATGTTTTCTTTCTTGTACAGTGTTGTCATTGGTGGCTTTGAAATCGTTGAGTTTGTTAATCAAAAATTCTTTAAAGTTTTACAAAATTTGAAATCGATAATAAAACAAATTTGAAATTCAGAATTCGGGCTTCCAAGTGCCCATTTTCGGGTCCTAGAAACTAACAGGAAATTCTTTTTCTTCCCGATTATTTCTGAGCTAATAAAATCTCAACTTTTCTATTTCTCTTATCGACAAATTTAATTCTTAACTCTTTTGAGCAATAGCTGAATTCAAAACTTGAATCACTTAAGATTCGACAAATCTTTCGCTTTTATTTGTATCAGGGTTTCTTAAAACTTTTTGGTGTGGAGACTCCAAAATATTTACGAAAGTTTTGTGGGACCCCATAATCATTGTGCAAATC